CCAGGTCTAAACCAGGTCTAAACCAGGTCTAAACTAGGTCTAAACCAGGTCTAAACTAGGTCTAAACTAGGTCTAAACCAGGTCTAAACCAGGTCTAAACTAGGTCTAAACCAGGTCTAAACCAGGTCTATACCAGGTCTAAACCAGGTCTAAACTAGGACTAAACCAGGACTGAACCAGGTCTAAACTAGGTCTAAACTAGGACTAAACCAGGACTGAACCAGGTCTAAACTAGGTCTAAACAAGGTCTAAACCAGGTCTATACCAGGTCTAAACTAGGTCTAAACTAGGACTAAACCAGGACTGAACCAGGTCTAAACTAGGTCTAAACCAGGTCTAAACCAGGTCTATACCAGGTCTAAACTAGGTCTAAACTAGGACTAAACCAGGTCTAAACCAGGTCTAAACCAGGTCTAAACCAGGTCTAAACCAGGTCTAAACCAGGTCTAAACCAGGTCTAAACTAGGTCTAAACCAGGTCTAAACCAGGTCTAAACCAGGTCTAAACTAGGACTAAACCAGGACTGAACCAGGTCTAAACCAGGTCTAAACCAGGTCTAACCAGGTCTAAACTAGGTCTAAACCAGGTCTAAACCAGGTCTAAACTAGGTCTAAACTAGGACTAAACCAGGTCTAAACCAGGTCTATACCAGGTCTAAACTAGGACTAAACCAGGACTGAACCAGGTCTAAACTAGGTCTAAACCAGGTCTAAACCAGGTCTAAACCAGGTCTAAACCAGGTCTAAACTAGGACTAAACCAGGACTGAACCAGGTCTAAACTAGGTCTAAACCAGGTCTAAACCAGGTCTATACCAGGTCTAAACTAGGTCTAAACTAGGACTAAACCAGGTCTAAACCAGGTCTAAACCAGGTCTATACCAGGTCTAAACTAGGTCTAAACTAGGACTAAACCTAGGTCTAAACCAGGTCTAAACTAGGTCTAAACTAGGACTAAACCAGGTCTAAACCAGGTCTAAACCAGGTCTAAACTAGGTCTAAACTAGGTCTAAACCAGGTCTAAACCAGGTCTAAACCAGGTCTAAACCAGGTCTAAATCAGGTGTAAACCAGGTCTAAACTAGGTCTAAACCAGGTCTAAACTAAAACCGAACCAGGTTTAAACTAAGATCATATTAATTTATAGATTAAGTAGGTGAAGTGCTTTGCTCACAGACACAAATGCCACGTTTACATGAGAGCTTTAATTCCAAATAAAAATAATTTAATTCTGAATTAAAAATTCCGCTTTAAAAAGATCATGTAAACACTTGATTCCTAATGAAAATGATTATTCGAAATGAAACTTAATTCCGAGGTAAGTGGGTGGTTTATTCTGATTTTAAAGTTGCATTAACTTATTCCTCGATCATGTAAATGTTTATTCTTCTTAAAACCAGTCCTGGCTTCGGACTTTCCTCCACGTCTCTTTGGATTTGTGAGCGGGATGTGGGAGTGGGCTGAGGTAGAGCAGCCTCACACTCACTTTGTCTTCTTCCTCCTTCTCCGACACTCTTCCCTTCTCCTCCTCAGCCGACAGACGTAAAGCGTGATTAGAGAATTCTCCAGCTGATGCTTCGCAATTATCATCGGAACCACTGCGGAAATAGTTTGGATCGTGTTTGTGTCCGTGGAATAACGACAAACCGAGATGACAGAAAAGCCGGGAGCAGCCGAGGTGTGTTTTCTTCCGGTCGACGTAAATACGTTCATGTCTCTGTCCAATCAGAACCTTCCCCACCCCCAGACGCTGAGAGGAATTAAACAAAGACGATTTAACGAGTTTTCCATGTAAACCTCAATTCAAAATGATTATTTCCATGTAAACTCAAAGGAGCATATTTTAATTCCAAACTATTCAATTCAGAATTAAAAAACATCATGTAAATGTGGCCAGAGCACTACCGCCTTAAGCAATCTTGTTCACATCTCTACGTTTCATTTTAAAGGTGCACTGTGTAACTTTTCTGATGGAGGGTACACCACCTGCTCACTTTGCCTGGAATTTTCCACAGTATGGCATTAAACACACCTATCGCCATTGAAACAGTCAGGTAACAGTAAGCATGTATGTTTTTCAAGGTGTTTTTGAGGAATAAAAACACATTTAATCGAATCAATACTAGACAGATTTCAGAAGTTTGATTAACACCATACTGTGGAACATCCCTGGCAAAACGATAACATCTCCATGGAGACGAGCAGAAAAGTTACACAGTGCCGCTCTACTTTGAATCACAGAATTTCATCTCTGCGCGTGTACTTTGAAAGCGTCGATCTGGTCCTGTCCCGTGACGCGGTTGAACAGCTCCGACGCCAGCCTCAACCCGGTCACCGAGGCCAGAGAAGCGCGATCCTCCTCCGACTGAGAGGTCAACCACCGCCACAGCGCCATCTGCAGGACGGAGAAGAAGAGGAGGAGGAGGAGGAGGAGAGTCAGTGAGTGTAAGGTAGGATGACAAGAATTTCAAAATAAAAAGAGCGTTCCAGAGCCACAGAGAAAGCCCTGTCCGCCTGGTTTTAAGTCTCGTCTTAGGGCCCACGAGGCGGAGTAAATGTGGATGAGGCCCGAGATGTAACGTGGGGCCAGTCCATTCAAAGCTTTAAAAACAAATCTTAAAAATCAACTCTAAATCGAAGAGGAAGCCAGTGCAAAGACGCAGGGATTGGTGTGATATGTTCTCGTTTATTTGGTTTCTGTTAAAAGTCGTGCCGCAGAGTTCTGGACAAACAACAGACGAGAAAGACTGAAAGCGTTTTGAGAGATGCCTGACTCTGGATAAAAGCCACAAATGATAAAAACTGTATATGGCTGAGTATATGGTACAGAGGAGGACAGTGAGTATACGATAGGGTGACCAGAATTTCAAAATAAAAAGCTTTTTGGTGGTTTGTAATCAGCGTTGGGGAGTAACAGATTACATGTACCAGAGTTACGTAATCAGAGTACAAATGATGAGTAAATGTATTCAGTTACAGTTACTGTTTCAGTGAGTGGTAAATGAATTATAGTTACTTTGTTGAAATAAATGGATTACACAGAGGTATTTTCCTGTTTTCACATTTTGGACTATATCCCCCTTTTTTTTTTTTCTTCTCGGTAATTCCACTCATTGCCGGACACTAAACCAGGTCTAAAACCAGGTCTAAACCCAGGTCTAAACCAGGTCTAAACCAGGTCTAAACCAGGTCTAAACCCAGGTCCAAACCAGGTCTAATTTAGGTCTAAACTAGGACTAAACCAGGACTAAAACCAGGTCAAAACCAGATCTAAACCAAAACTAAACCAAGACTAAACCAGGACTAAAACCAGGTCTAAACCAGGTCTAAAACAGGATTTAACAGGACTAAATCATGCTGCGTGGACCGTATCTCCTCCTCGTCTTCTATCAATAATATTTTTAATTTGGTTAAGTAAAGTCTGGGCTTTTTATTTTCTTTTAGCAGACAAAACATCTTATGTGAAGATTTCCTCGTCTTTGCTTCTCTACAGCAAATCAAGTAATCTAAAGTATTCAGATTACATTACTCACTTTAAGTAACTTAATGGATTCCGTTACAAACTACATTTTGGGGTGTGTAATCTGTAATCTGTAGGGGAATACATTTTAAAAGTCACCTTCCCAACACTGTTTGTAATAATAAAATTGTGAATCGAGTGCGTAATTAAGGAAAATTGTTATGCAGAGACCCTTCAAGACTAACATGTGAGCCACTATAGTCAGATTTACGTTGTGTTTTGGTCGTTTTTAAGCAGATTTTTTATGTTTTACCTGAACAAATGACAATGTATGCCTGACTTTACTGTTGGCAGGGATCAAATTGGTCAAAAATAGGGACAACTGCGACATTTCTTGTATAAAGCTGGGACAAATCAATGGTTTTGGATAAATTTGCTGGGACAGTGGACACAGGGCTCAAAACTAGGACTCACCCTGGTAAATAGGGACATCTGGTCACCCTAGTATATATAAGGTACAGAGGAGGACATATTTAACATAGACAATATCATCCTTTAAAAATAAATAAGACGTCCAAGACCATTAGGCAAAATGATGAGCAGTTTGATCATGTAGCTTCATAATTATCATAAAACGGATTGTATTAAAGTAGTGAATGCATGTCGGAATTATGATATTTATATTAGATGTATTTAAAAATATTTCTTCTATTTTTACCTGTTGAAAAAGCTCCGCGTTGGACATTTCTCCTCCAGAGGTCAGTGAACCCGACATGACGCAAAAACGGCCCTAAAAAATCTCTAAAATCCACAAAAACTTTTAAATATCAAAGCCACAAGGACATAAAGCTCTTTACACGGTTTAATATTAAAGATTTATGTGCTGATTTAGGGGAAAAAACGTAAAAATTCGCAGTTTTGTCAGATTAGCTGTAGAGTGTGTGTACTTCCTGTTTATGATCCTCTCCTGCGCATGCGCCGCTTCACGGGCTTTTTCTAAAGTTTATTTGTTTTTTATTTTGTGTTTTAAATTAATATTAAATGAAATTATTAATAAATGTATGACTTCATTTGTAAAATTATACAAAATATTTAATAATTCAAACATTAAACTTAAAAAAAAAAAAAAAAATGCAGCCAAATTAACTGTATTTATTTATGTATTTCTTAATATTTTTTATTTATATTTATTATTTTAAGCTTTGTCAAAAATGATAATATTTAATATAACATTTTTATTGCTATGGTAACTGTCCTAACGGTTCATCGGGCGTTATTTATTGTATTTTAATGTATGATTTTGTGTTTATTTATCGATTTTTTTTTATATATATATATATATATTTCGTGTTTATTGGTTTGGATTTGTTCATATAGGCTATTTCTCGTTTATTCTATTTTTTATTTAATATTTTATTTTCTAGTCGTCGGTTGTCGGTTGCTAGGCAGCGATTAAGTTGTGCGTCGTTGCTGCGGAGTTTTACCAGGTCATCCCTCCGGGTCATCCCTCCGGGTCATCTCTCCGGGTCAAACCCCCGGGTCAAACCTCCGGGTCATTACTTTCTACCTCCCGGTGCTTCTTGAGTCAGTCCGTCCATGGCCCTGGCCGCTGCGGACCGGAGCCGGGCCCCGGTGGTGTTCGGGCTTCGGGCGGTGCCGCGGCTGTTTGAGGAGCTGCAGAGGCCGGAGCCGGAGCACAAGACTCGGGCTCTGAACTCTCTGTGTGACCTGCTCCATGAACCAGAGCGCCTCTACCAGACCGTCACCTCAGGTATCACTTTTATCAAACTCAACAACTCTTACACAGGTTATTTATTTATTTATCGTGAAGTGGCTATTTTCGGTTTCATATGTTTTTATCACGTGGAAACAACTATAAATAGTTCATCCAAACAAGACATGTAAACACACTTTTTTCATTTTTATGCAGATAAAACATAACTTACAAAACTAACTAACAAAAACAAATCACTCAAGAAATATGAGTATCATCATACAATATAACAAACATGTCAAACTCAGGCCCGAGGGCCAAATTTGGCCCTTGATATAATTATATTTGGCTCGTGAGATCATATCAAATATGTATTAGAGCTGCCCGCTGACTACAGGGTACAGGCCACAGACTACAGAAACATTATTTATTTAAAATGTTATTATTTTATATTCTGCTTGTTCTGAATTCAGTGTTTAAGCAAAACTATTATTTAACATTTATTTAAATAAAAAAAGGTTTAACATTACATATCTCGAAAGAAGAGAAAACATGCCGATGTTGCTGAAATATTTTAATAAATATTTAGTTTGGCCAACGACTTAGGCCCAGTTTTAAATTTTGGCCTCTGTGATTTTGAGTTTGACACTCCTGCAATAATAATAGAATGATAATAAATATACTACTAATCAAATCAAATATACTACTACTATTATTCTGAAGTAGCTGTTTTAATAAGGCAGTGTTTTGTTTGTTTGTTTTTCTGAAAATGCTGTAATGTAACGTTAGAGATGTAATCTTTGGCCTATAAAAAACTGTATTCTTGAATTGTTTTTTAAGAACAGTTTACTCCACTGCAGTTCTCTGTTCTTTAGAAACAAAGGTACGTTTGCTGGAATTAAAAACACTTGTAATTGATTAAATAATAGTTTAATAAATTAATTAAAATTTAATTCCACACCTTCCACCAGAAATGTTACACAATGCACCTTTATTTTGTGTTTTATAACCAGTGGGTTGTTACAGGATCAAATGTTTAGTGACAAGATACATTAAAACAGACAGATACTTTATTAATCCTGAGGGAGATTCAAGTTATGCTGCAGCTGCTTGTCTCAGTCAAATGTCTCAGTGCAGTTTGACAGGAGGAGGTTTGAGGAGCCAAAAGTGTCCTTCCTCTGTGTCCTGCAGCATCACAGCGGCCTCCAGGGGGCGCCACATGAACACAACAGGAAAGGCCTCACTCTTTCTCCACTCTGGTGTTTCAGTCGGTGATGAAATGGTCCATTCTTCTGTAACATTTGTTGCCCCATATGGTGTAAAAATCCTGTAGCATCTCAAATGTCCACAGCTTGCTCCTCAGTTTACGTCTTAGTTTGTTTAAATCCCACGATATGATGTTAAAGGGACAGTTTGTTATTTTGGACATAGAGCCTCATTTCCTAATAAACCAGACTGGAGGTGTGGAGACAGTTTTTTAAATAATTCATCCAGTCCTTGTATTTGCAGAGGTCACTGGTGCTAGACTAGTGCATGTCAATGGTCATAGTTCTCCTGCCACTAAAAACAGTCTTACCCACTCCACAAAACACCTGAAGAAAATCTATTATTACACCAGACTGTCCATGTGAATGTCTGTGCTGATAGAATAATTTTAGAAGTAAAACCGACAATGCATTTGAAGGATTTAGGTCTGAGCAGCAGCAGCGAGTTGTACTTCCTGATAGAAAACTTGGCAGCGATGAACTGATATCACTAAGCACCTAGGGCTCGGTATCATTCAGAAGTTGCCGATACGGTGCATATCTCGATAGATAGGCCACGGTACGATATATATCTCGATACAGTTAGATTTCGATTTGATACAATTCAATACGATATATTTCAAATCAATCCAATACGGTTCAATAAAAACACGAAGACTAAATCATGGCTGTGATACTAAAAGTCTTTGTTAAAACACTTCTTGTGCAAAGTTCATAAGAAACACAAACATTTTAATCAGCAAAACAGCGAAAATGTCAAATGTGTCGCAAAAACAAGTTTCCTTCCACGAAACAAGCAAAAAATTATTTTGTTGTAGCTCTACAGTTTAGAAAAATATACGAAAAAATATTCTTGGTGACATATCGATACATCAGCTCACAATATCGATACTGTATCATCACATTAAACCAGGGGTGTCAAACTCATTTTGGTCCGGGGGCCGTATCCAACCTATTTTGATCCCAAAGTGTCCGGATCAGAAAACTCATGACATATAAACCCCAAAAATATCAGTAAGTTCAAATATTTGTGCAGAGAAACACAAATCTATTACAGAAATCTTTTTTAATTGATGAACTCTTTCCTTTTACAAAATATTATAATATTATGAACAACCTGAAACTTTAAGAAAAATACAATTTCAACACAATGTTTTAACATTAACTTGTATGTAAATAGGAATAAGTCAGTTTTTGTTGTAAAATCCTGCACTCGGCTCCACTTTTCTCATTTTTGACATTTTTCTGATGAGGGTGTCACGGTCAACAGTCAAAACGATCGTCCTTTAAGAGCGTTTGGAAAGAAGCAAGTCTTCATTTGTGCTGCTCTGGTGGGAGGGGCCACGTACAGAGACGCTGGAGACGCTGCTGTGATAAACACCACAGAAAATTAACAATCTTTTAATAGAAAATATAATTCAAATATTTTAGTATAAAATCAGCCGAGGGCCAGATTAAAGGTCTTGGAGGGCCGGATCTGGCCCCCGGGCCGTATGTTTGACACCTGTGCATTAAACGATACAGTATATTGATATTTTGATATTTTTGCACACCCCTACTGGCACCTGTCTTACGGGCTCTGTAATAGTTTGTTTACCTGCAGTTGCCATAGCGACACATAGAGCACACGAAGAAGCCTGTTCCAGATGTGGCCACGTTCACATCATCACAACAAACTACAGCAGAGTAAAATTCCGCTGCTGCTGAGAAAATAGTCCCTCAACATGCGACGATTCATGTGATACAAGGTTACTTTTCCTTCCAAAATTATTCTATCGACACAGACATTCACATCGACACTCTGGCTCACTAGGAAATGAGGCCCAGTGTCCAAAATTCCAAACAGTCACTTTAAAAACTGAGCTCAAAAAACAAAAAGGTTAAAAAGCTGCACAGTGTATGAGCTAGGCAGCCACAAGAGCAACCGTGCATAGATGCATAGATAGATAAAAGGGAAATTCAAGTGTTGCAGCCATCTCAGAAAATCTCAAAAAATACAGCACAACATGAGGATGAAGACGAGAAAAAAAGAGACAACCCTCAGACCATGTGACATGATAAAAAAATAAAATAAAAACGACTCAAAAAAGAAAACATCAAACCATAAAATCATGATCAGTGAGAATTCCACTTTGTTGGTCACAGAGGCCAAGGGCTCAGACTGGCAGCCACAGCTCGCCCCGGGGCAGCTCTGACTGATCCGGTCTGTGTTTCAGGTCTGCTGGAGCAGCTCGGTCCTCTGCTACGAGACTCAGACTCTGGAGTGAGGACTCGAACCTGTGACCTGCTGCACCTGGTGTCCGCCCACGCCATCGGACGGTAAACCACTGCCCCACACAAAGACTCCCACAGACCTGAGCTTTAATCCTTTGTTTGTTTTGTGTCCTCAGCCGGGCGCTCCTCTCCTCCTCGCTGCTCGGGCCTCTCTCCCTGCTCCTCGATGATCCGGACCCCGACTGCAGAGTCTCAGTCCACCGAGTCCTGAACCGCCTCTGCCTCCTGCCCTTAGGTCTGTCACAAGACCTGGTTTAGTCCTGGTTTAGTCCTGGTTTAGTCCTGGTTTAGTCATGGTTTAGACCTGGTTGAGTCCTGGTTTAGTCCTCCGTCCCGTCAGACCTGGTTTAGACCTGGTTTAGTCCTGGTTTAGTCCTGGTTTAGTCCTGGTTTAGTCCTGGTTTAGTCCTGGTTTAGTCCTGGTTTAGAATTGGTTTAGAATTGGTTTAGTTCTGGTTGAATCCTCATTCATACCTGGTTTAGTCCTGGTTTAGTCCTGGTTCAGACCCGGTTCAGTCCTGGTTTAGTCTTGGGTCAGTGCTGGTTTATTCCTCCTTCAGACCTGGTTTAGTCCTGTTTGGTCCTGGTTTAGTCCTGGTTTAGACCTGGTTTAGACCTGGTTTAGACCTGGTTTAGACCTGGTTTAGACCTGGTTTAGACCTGGTTTAGTCCTGGTTTAGACCTGGTTTAGTCCTGGTTTAGTCCTGGATCAGTCCTGGCTTAGTCCTGGTTCAGTTCTGGTTTATTCCTCCTTCAGACCTGGTTTAGTCCTGTTTGGTCCTGGTTTAGTCCTGGTTTAGACCTGGTTTAGACCTGGTTTAGTCCTGGTTTAGTCCTGGTTTAGTCCTGGTTTAGTCCTGGATCAGTCCTGGCTTAGTCCTGGTTCAGTTCTGGTTTATTCCTCCTTCAGACCTGGTTTAGTCCTGTTTGGTCCTGGTTTAGACCTGGTTTAGTCCTGGTTTAGTCCTGGTTTAGACCTGGTTTAGACCTGGTTTAGACCTGGTTTAGTCCTGGTTTAGTCCTGGTTTAGTCCTGGTTTAGTCCTGGTTTAGACCTGGTTTAGACCTGGTTTAGTCCTGGTTTAGTCCTGGTTTAGTCCTGGTTTAGTCCTGGTTTAGTCCTGGTTTAGTCCTGGTTTTAGTCCTGGTTTAGACCTGGTTTAGACCTGGTTTAGACCTGGTTTAGACCTGGTTTAGACCTGGTTTAGACCTGGTTTAGTCCTGGTTTAGTCCTGGTTTAGTTCATTCGACTCCTGCATGTGTAATTGTCTTGGACAGATGTTTTTCAGAGTTTCACAACAGGAAACACCTGAAGGACTAAAGTCTTTAAAAACACAATAAACATTCAGAAAATACGACAAATAAATAAAACATTTGTTTTTGTTTTTTCCAGGAGCCGAAGCTTTACTGAGTTTGGTCCCAAAACTGATCCTCAAACTGAGAGGGAGAGTCCAGGAAACAGACGAGGAGCTAGGAGGCAAGGGAGGAACTGAGGAGCTAGGAAGGAAGGAAGGAACTGAGGAGGGAGAAAAGAAGGTTGTAACTGATGAGGAACTAGGAAGCAAGGAAGCACAGGTACAGGGAGGGAGCAAGGAAGGAGCTGAGGAGACAAGAGTGGAGCTAGGAGACAAGGAAGCAAATGATGAGCTAGGAAGAACGGAAGAAGAAGAGAGAGGGAGCAAGGAGGCAGAGGAAGGAGGAGACGAACAAGGAGACACAAAGGTACAAATGAGAGAAGTGTTCTGTGTTCTGTGTTGTTCTTTGGTGTTTTCGTCACAAATCTCCAAAAGTCAAATCCACAACACAACATCTGGGAGGGCATCTGACACAACACAACATCTGCAGATTCACTTGAGACATTTGGCCGGTCCTCATCTCAGTCTAACATCTCACCGCGCAAACAAACGTCCAAACAAACGTCCAAACATGGTCTTTTTAGGGTCCTTGAACATACAAAAGTAGGTGAAGGTACGACTGAGTATAAGGGTCACATAAAAAAAAAAAAAAAAATGCTGGCGCTACGAGAATAAAGTCGTAACATTTCAACATTAAAGTCGTAATATTATGAGAATAAAGTCGAAGTCAGAAAAAGTTGTAATTTTACGAGAATAAAGTCGAAGTTAAAATAAAGTCGTAATATTAAGAGAATGAAGTCGTAATAAAATCAAAGTCAAAGTGAAAAATGCGGCAGAAGAAGAACCTTGTTTTTCAATAAAACCAAAAATAAGAAAAACGAACAACAATTTTCTTCATTATTTGCGCCTCCGGACTGAACCAGGACTAAACCAGGACTGAAACCAGGACTGAACCAGGACTGAACCAGGACTAAACCAGGACTAAACCAGGACTAAACGAAGTCCGAGACCAGACCGGGACTGAGACCAGGACTTAGACAAGGACTGAGTCAGGGACCAAGACTGAGACCGGGATCAGACAATAACTGAGACCAGGATTGAGACCGGGAACAGGACCAGGACTGAGACTGGGACTGAGACCGGGACCAGACCAGGACTGAAAACTGTTTAGTCCTGGTTTAGTCCCGATTCAGTCCTGGTTCAGTACTGGTTCACTGTCTGAAACGCCATTTTCCATTTCCGTGACTTAAACCAGGACTAAACTAGGACTAAACCGTTTTCAGTCCTGGTCTGGTCCCGGTCTCAATCCTAGTCTTTCTGGTTTGGTTCCGGACCTGATTTAGTCCTGATTCAGTCCTTGTTCAGTCGAATGAACAAATGATACACAGATTCTTCTCCTTTACAAAATGCTCCAAATTCTCCATTCTCCACTCAGTCATACTTTCCAAGCAGCCGATTTTCTCATAATATTACGACTTTATTTTGACTACGACTTTATTCTCGTAAAATTACTACTTTATTCTTCTAAGTTTACGACTTTATTCTCGTAAAAAATATGACTTTATTCTCGTAAAATTACAACTTTTTCTGACTTCGACTTTATTCTCATAATATTACGACTTTAATGTCGAAATGTTACGACTTTATTCTCGTAGCGCCAGCATTATTTTTATTTTATTTTTTTAAATCTGACCCTTATACTCCGTCGTATGAAGGTGCAGAGACGCCAGATGACTTTTTTTCCCCAAACATCTTCAGGACGTCCAGTTTTGACGTTTGTTTTTCCTGTAGTGATGCAGAAAAGTGGAGTCACTGTGTGAACGTTCATGTTAGTCTTTGGTCAGTCGATGTGATCGCTTAACCAATGATGTTTTATGTCGAGAGATTTGAACCACCAACCTTCAGATCAGTGAACAAACGCTCGACCAACTGAGCTCCAGTCCCATCCTTTTACACTGTTTTTATGGTTGAATTCAAAGGCTCATAGAATTATATAAATACCTAAATTAGTTAATTAAACAGACAAAATATCATGCGCTCAAATAAATAATTAGCAGTAAATGTTTATTATTTTCATTAATAAAGTCATTTTCCTGCGTCTGTGTTACACGTCCCCATGATGTCCACAGAAGTCTCCTAGTCCACGGTCAGGGTTGGGAAGTGTACTTTTAAAATGTAATCCCCTACAGATTACAGATTAAATACACCAAAATGTAGTTTGTAACGTAATCCATTAAATTACTTAAAGTGAGTAATGTAATCTGAATACTTTGGATTACTTGATATTGTCATGCTTTTTAAAATGACATGAATGTACCAACCACATCCTGAAAATTCTTGTTTCTCCTCTTCAAATTGTCTGTTGAGCCCAAGTCTCCATGAAGAGACTTTTGTTTGCTGAAGAGAAGAAAAGACGAAGATGTTTTATCTGCTAAAAGACACAAAAAGACCAGTCTGTCCTTAACCGGATAGAGAAATGATTTTTATATGAGATCACTGCTGCTTTAAATTATGGCCATCTACTGTTTAGACCGGTTTAGTCCTGGTTTAGACCTGTTTTAGACGTGGTTTAAGACGTGGTTTAGACGTGGTTTAGACGTGGTTCAGTCCTGGTTCAGTGTGGTTAGACGTGGTTCAGACCTGGTTTAGACCTTGGTTTCAGTCCTGGTTTAGACCTGGTTAGACCTGGTTTAGACCTGGTTCAGTCCTGGTTTTAGACGTGGTTTAGACCTGGTTAGTCCTGGTTTTAGACGTGGTTTAGACCTGGTTAGACTGGTTCAGTCCTGGTTTAGTCCTGGTTTAGACCTGGTTCAGACCTGGTTCAGACCTGGTTCATTCCTGGTTTAGACGTGGTTCAGACCTGGTTTAGTCCTGGTTTAGACCTGGTTTAGACCTGGTTTAGACCTGGTTTAGACCTGGTTTTAGTCCTAGTTTAGCCCAAAATGTAAAAGCAGGAACGTATCACCATGTAATCCATTTATTTCAACAAAGTAACTGTAATCCAATTACCACTCACTGAAACAGTAACTGTAACTGAATACTGTTACTCATCATTTGTACTCTGATTACTTAACGCCAGTACATGTAATCTGTTACTCCTCAACACTGTCCACGGTTCAAATGTTTCACTGCAGATCGACGTCCAAGTGGGTCAGAGTTTAGACGACCAAATACTGAACGGAATTTGTACGTCATTTAGTCCAGAACTGGTTTTGGACCGACGGACGCAACATAGACACGACCTGCACGTCCATAAAACCTCATGTTTAGTGGAACTACTGGGACACAGGAGGACGGGAGGGCATCTGACTCACTCAGGAGGACGGGAGGCATCTGACTGTGTCTGGAGGAGGGCATCTGACTCACTGGTTTGTGTCTCAGGAGGAGGAGTTGGTTCTGCTCTTGTCCACTCTGGCCCGGTGCATTCGCCTGGATGCCCTCCCGGCTCTGGCCTCCGGGGCCGTGGAGCTGCTCCGGCACAAACTCACTCACGGATCGGCTCATGTGCGCAGAGAGGCAGCCGCCGCCCTGCTGGCCCTCAGGTGAGTCTAGTCCTGGTTCAGTCCTGGTTTAGTCCTGGTTTAGTCCTGGTTTAATCCTGGTTCAGTCCTGGTTCAGTCCTGGTTCAGTCCTGGTTCAGTCCTGGTTCAATCCTGGTTTAATCCTGGTTTAATCCTGGTTCAGTCCTGGTTCAGTCCTGGTTCAGTCCTGGTTCAGTCCTGGTTCAATCCTGGTTCAGTCCTGGTTCAGTCCTGGTTCAGTCCTGGTTCAGTCCTGGTTCAGTCCTGGTTTAATCCTGGTTCAGTCCTGGTTCAGTCCTGGTTCAGTCCTGGTTTCAGTCCTGGTTCAGTCCTGGTTTAGTCCTGGTTCAGTCCTGGTTCAGTCCTGGTTTAGTCCTGGTTCAGTCCTGGTTCAGTCCTGGTTCAGTCCTGTTGTGTTTCAGTGTTCCTGTGGAGGGGAAGCAGCAGATCTGTGCTCTGGACTTGCTCTCTGACCTTTTGCCGCTGCTCCACGACCCCGACGTCGAGGTCAGGACCAACGCGGCGGGAGTTTGCATGAACACGCTCATCATCACCGCAGGTACGACTCCCTCTGCCGCCGCTGTGCCAATGAGCAACGCACCACACACCCACACCGTCTGGAGATTTATTTCAAATACTATGAATCTCCATTAGAGTTTTACTGATACTGCAGCTGATGTCATCAACAGTCCCTGGGAGTGTGATGCTAACTGGAGGCACTGCTCTGTCTGAAAAGAGTCCCCTCACACTGGGACTTAAGAACCGTGCCCAAGCACAGATCACCGCTAAAGCGCGGTACGTTTGTCCTGTGTGAGCACAATCGAACCGTGTCCAGGTGTGGCCCGGTTAGGACTTCGGCCCGGGTGGAGGAGGTGGACCAAAACACGGCACAGAGCTCATGTACACACACGACTTTACTGTATGATCCCAGTGTGTGTGTGCTGATGTCCGTCAGGACAACATACTGACCTTCAATAAACACAGCACTAAAGTCCTAGTGTGAGTGTGCTCTTAAATTAGACTTGACTGTATTTTATGACTGCATGGTACACTGCATGGTACATTCCGCCATACACATACATGTATGACCCCCCTGTTACGACCCAGCTCATTTGTGGTGAGGGAAGTAACAAAAATAAAACCAAGATGTAAAATGGAATAAATTCAATAATGTTTAATTAACAGGAATGTAAAGGTAAATTAACAAAACAGACTAAAATATACAGAAAATAACCTAAACTAAGAAACAGAACAACAAAATAAACAGTTTCGTGCCAGAAAAGGAGTCACGCAGGCTTACACAAAAACGAGTGGTAAAACTTAGGGACACACACTAAACCAAAACACAAGTTCCCCAAATTAAACCACATAAACCCACAAACAGAATTGAGTGACCAAATAAAAAAAGGCACAAAACAGAATGAGACTAAACTACATACACAAAACCAAAATGACATTCTGGCCACCAAGGCCAGCAGCCCCGAACAGGTGCTGGTAATCTCCTTAAATAGGGGGCGGTGGCTGCAGGTGAGGTGGGCGTAGACTTGCTCCACCAATCACAAACGAGGGCTCCCACAGCAGGAATCCAGGTGTGTCAGCAGACTTATTTAGAACATACAGAACAAATTACAATCTAAGGCCTGGGGCCGTAACACCCCCAGCATGATGTCACTGCAAAGTATCAATAGCCCCCTGCTCTCCACCTGGTTTAGACCTGGTTTAGTCCTAGTTTAGTTCTAATTTAGTTCTGGTTTAGTCCTGGCTCCTCCTCTTGGGCTACGTTCAGACTGCAGGGCTTAACGCTCAATTCAGATTTTTGTGTGAAATCTGATGTTTTTACGAGGTCGTTCACATTTCCAATTAAATGTGACTTGTATGTGACTCCAGTGTGAACATTAAACGGTCCAAAAGTGTCCCGCATGTGCACTGGAGACACGATGACGTCAACCGCAGCGAGCGTCTCTGTGTTTATGGAAGTTGTCCAAACATGGACGCAGCATCGAGCACCTGGAGATTTTAAAGTTCCTCTCGTACCGGAGCCACAACATGAACAACTTACTTGTTTTAAGGAGGAGATTGAGAAGGAGAAGGACGAGGTTTTTGGTCGTGGTGTTTTGTGGTGAGTGGAGATGTGCTTCACTTCAGTGACACAGAGTTCATTAACAATTTTCTCCTACTTCAGCGCAGAATAGTGACGTTTGTGTCTTGTTGATAACGTGTAGGTGGATGAATGCACTTTGACTGTTCAGACTGAAATCGCATGTCAAAAGATCAGATATGTATCAGTTTTAGGAGCACATATCCAAGTGTCCTGGGTCACATTTGAAAAAAATCAGATCTGTGTCTGTGGGGAAGCTGGCCAAAGTGGTCGAAGTAGGAGGCAGAGGACACAAAAAAAAAAGGTGTCTTACGCAGACAAAATTTATTTAAAAAACAGACTTCTGGGTTTAACCAACAAAAATACAAATAGACAAAAAAGAAGTAACTCAAAGCAAAACACCAAATACCTGCTCAGAAGTCCTCCCACTGGCCTGGATCCCACCACTGCCACCAAATGTGGGGAAGCTGGCCCAAGTGGTCGAAGTAAGAGTCCAGTGCAAAAAATTTACCTTCACCAAACAAAATCTTTATTGCGTCCTCCGTGTTGTGGGCAAAATTAAATACATATTTACAAAAAATAACTGTACTTAACTAAAACAAAAGCAACAGAAAATAATGCAACAAAAGAAAATAACCCACAGGCACCCGGCTGCACTGATGGTGAACCTGTAACTGATTACACTGCCTCCACTTTTATACCGCCCAGAGAGGAAGTCCCTCCCCCTGGGTTTACACCAACTCACAGGTTAAATTCTTACAATTTCCTCGTTTTCCTGGTGTGCTGCATTAGTTTATTCTCAGAGATCTAAATCCCCCTTTAAACTAAACAGTGCTCCAACTCAACTAGAAACACTGAAACCAAAATTCTACAAATCAATTTGATAAAATAAAAAGAACCAATTCTGAGGCTTCCCTCCACATGGTCTGGGCCAACACCTCCCCCTGAACCTATAAATATGGCTGCCGAAAGACACGCCTCCTCTTTGTTCCCAGACCATGTGGAGTCACAGGTAAAGTTGGTAAGTTTAAACAAAAGGATATAACCAAATAAAATAAATTTAAAGTAACTGTGTGAATGTGATCAATTAAACTAAACAAAGACTAAATAAAACAAACCTGGGATTGTCTCATTTAGCTGTTTAGTTGAAAGATGGATGTAAATGATATAAAGTGGAAAAAATGTCGTTCAGATTGTCATTAAAAGATCAGATACAGGTCACATAGAGGCCAAAAAATCGGATTTGGGTCACTTCAGGCTGCAGTCTGAACGCAGCCTTAGTCAGGAGGTTGTGGGTTAGATTCCTGATGTTTGATGTAGTTTCACATGGTTTGGACGCGGCCGGTTCCGTCCTGTGGTTTATTATTGTTTTGTGTTTTTGAAAATCGTCTGAACCTCCCACCGACTCCTCCCACTTCCTGTTTGGTCTCTGTCTTCTTCCTGTTTGTCTCCGGATCAAAATGGCGTCCTTTGTTTTTGTAGTTCTTATAGTCGGCGGAAACACTTCTTAAACATCCGAAAACGAAAACAAATCTTCTAAACCTCAAACCCGTCGCCTGCTGTAGGGCTCAATTAAAGCTGCAAGCGACATTAAAGGCCCTGGTCCTCATGGAGATTAATTGCAAAGTGACGTTATTTGTGGTTGTCATGGAAACCTATAACGCTCTGATCCGTGTGAGATGAGGAAGTTTTTGTTTTCTTTCTGCACGCAAAAAATGCACTGGTAATTTTACTACAACAATAATCACCAACAAAACAGAGTGTCTGAGGATAAGCACGACGTAAACAAAATAAACATTTGATACAGACCTGCCCCAGGAGGACGGGAGGGCATCTGACACGCAGGGACACTGAGATATAGTCCTGGTTCTGTTCAGATACTGGTTTAGTCCCGGTTTAGTCCTGGTTTAATCCTCTGTGTTGTGTCTGTGTCCAGGTAAAGTCCAGGCTCTGAAGCTGGGTCTGCTCCCGGTCTTGTTGGACCTGGTCTCTCCGGAGGATCTCGGTCCAGACTCTCTGGACCTGAACCAGACCCTGGACCAGACCCAGGGGAAGGCTTTGGTCCTGTACTGTCTCCGAGCCCTGACGGCGCTCAGCGAGGCCCCGGCCGCACGCTGCCTCCTCATGGAACAGCGCCCCCGTCTGGAGAGGAGGAGAGACACAGACCCCGAGCTGAGACAGGCCACAGAGACGGCGCTCAGGGTCATCAGCTGGACCCCGTAATAAACCAGAAACCTCTGACCGGACCGGAGCTAGGCCAGGTTTAGTCCAGGTTTAGTCCAGGTTTGGTTCAGGTTTAGTCCAGGTTTAGTCCAGGTTTGGTTCAGGTTTAGTCCAGGTTTAGTCCAGGTTTAGTCCAGGTTTGTCCAGGTTTGGTCCTGGGTTAGTGGTGGTTTTATACAGAACAGAGATGCTTATTGTGTTGGTTTCATGATTTTGTTGAGCTCAGACTTGCTCAGCTGCAGGATAAGTTACAGTTACAGAACATTACACTGGTATCGGTTGGTATCGGTTGGTATTGAGCATTACTCGATACTTAAAGCCAATGTATCCATATCGATATCACTGATATTAGTCAGTTAGCTCCAGGGTTTATTCTAGGGATAGTTTTGGTTTAATAATTACTCCAACAAGAAAATAAAACTACATTCTTTAGAATATAACCTTTAAACCATCTCTATGGAGCTGCTCTTGTGGCTGCCTGGCTCACACACTGAGCAGCTTTTGAATCTTTTTGTTTTTTGAGCTCTGTTTTAAACATCATTTCATTTTAAGGACACAAATGTGGTAAATGAGACATTTTTTTCTGTATTTTTTTCCCATGGAGTCTGTGAAAGAATCTATGAACCTTTGAGATGCTTCAACCTCGTGGAGTCAGTCAAGACAAAATCTGCCCACAGCAGTGAAGCTGAAACATCACAGACTCTGAACTTTTACTACATCTGCTACTGCACTCAAGTGTGGAGAATGTTTTATGTAATATAACAGTGACAAATAAACTCATTTAACCCAGGATAAATCCAGAGGATCAAACCCAGTCAATGAAGGACCCTGGTCTCTGAGCGTGTCCTTAATGTGGACGCTCTCATTCACAGCAGCAGGTCACCTGTGGGTGCTTGTATGGGTGCTTGTATGGGTGCTTGTATGGGTGCTGTGGGTGCTGTGGGTGCTGTCGGTGCTCTGAGTGTTCTGCTCTAGTGACTCTGAAAGAGACTTGACCCTCACTCGCCTGAAGCCCCTTCAGTGTCTGACATCAGAGCTCAGTCTCTTAAAACCACAGACTCATCGACCTCAGAAAGATTTCCTGTGTTCATGTTGTAAAATCTGATAATCGTTTATTTTGTACAAAAATAAATGTTCTTTTATCTTTAACTTGAAGAGGGAGTATTCTGCAAAAATGACTTTTTGGTGCTGTCCTACCACGTTATAATGTACTCCCATCAAAAACACACCTGAAGAGGTTTTAGATCATCCATGTGTATTTGAGTTTATTACAGTATAATTACTATATATTACAGTACGACAAAAGAAGAAATTCAGTTTGTCAACTGCACAAAAGTTAATTTTTGTCAAATACGTTATTTATTACAGTATAATTACAGCATATTAAATATACTACGGTACAGTTATAGTATAATTACAGTTTATTTCAGTATAATTACAGTATATTGGAGCATAATTACAGTATTAGAGTATAACTATAGTATATTACAGTATATTAGTGTATACAGTATAATACAGTATATTAAGTATACTTACAGTATATTAGAGTATAACTACAGTATTACAGTATATTACTTTATAATTACAGTACATTAAAGTATACTTACAGTATAATTACAGAATAATTGCAGTATAATATCTGATTCTAATGTTACACTGAAGAGCCGGGGTCAAATTGAGAAATATCTGCGCTCACTTTGCGCCCGCAGCGGTTCCGGGTCTAGAATGTTTTGTCTTTCATGAACTCGCGTTTTGTTTTTGTGTTTTTTGAGTTTGTTCCAGCGGCTTCACTGCGCCTCACGCACGCACACGCACACGCACACACACACACACACGCGCGCGCGCCCCTCCCTCAGTGAAACGAGAGAGAGAGAGCACAGAGGGAGAGAGAGAGACGCACACACCCACACGCACTCTCACGCACGCACGCTCCCGTACAGTCCGCGCGCAGAGTCCCGGAGCGGTGCAGAGACGCGCAGTGTTCCGCCGCTGGATCCAGGTAAGAGCCGCTCTCCCCGCTCCCCTCGGGTGCCTCGGGTCCCTCGGGTCTCTCCGGTAAACCCCCTGCACGTGAGGGTGAAAAACGCGGGACGTGGGTGCGTTTTGCGTGAGCGTGGATCATTTTTTTTCACAAACCGAGCCATCCTCTGCGGACTCAGCGAACCAATTCCACTCCATTATCGCGAGATCAGCCACAAGTTCAACCGGGATTATCCGCTTTTTAATCAGATAAAAACATCCAGAGAGCGACGTGTGTTCAGCGGGCAGAGGTGAGCACAGCAGCCGGGCCGGAGTGCGCGTCCCCCGGCTGCGCACAGGGCCGTGTCCCGCTGGAGAGTCCGGTCCGCTCCGTGGGCACCTGCAGAGGAATTATGTAAGAACGCATCCATGTAAAGTGAACGGGACGGAGCGGCGGGACGGAGCGGCAGGACGCGGCGGGACGCGGCAGGACGCGGCGGGACGCGGCAGGATGCGGCGGGGAGGGGGCGGATTAAGAGAAGCACCAAGCCGGTTTATGTAACACTCAGAGCGGCTTCCCCCTGCAACATCTGCCGCTGAACGGGACCGCTGCGGGGGTCTGGACCGGAGGCAGAACTGGACTAAAACAAGGACTAAACCAGGACTGATAAGGGGCTAAATCTGGACTGAAGCGCATCCTAAACCCGGACTAAATAAACCAGGATTTAGTGAGGTCTAAACCAGTTCTAAACCAGGTCTAAATCATTTGTAAAACATGTCTAAACCAGGACTAAACAGGACTAAAGAAAAAAACTGGATTTAGCAAGGTTGAAACCAGTTTTGAACCTGTTCTAAACCAGGTCTAAATCATTTGTAAACCAGGTCTAAACCAGGACTAAACAGGATTAAACTAGGACTAAATAATCCAGGGTTGGCCAGTTCTAAATCATTTGTAAACCAGGTCTAAACCAGGACTAAAGTAGGACTAAATAAACTAGGATTTAGTGAGATCTAAACCAGTTCTAAACCAGTTCTAAACCAGGTCTAAACCAGGTCTAAATCTGGACTAAAGTGCAACCTAAACCAGGTCTAAATAAACAAGGATTTAGTGAGGTCTAAACCAGTTCTAAACCTGTTCTAAATCATTTGTAAAACATGTCTAAACCAAGACTAGATCATTTCTAAACCAGGACCAAACCAGGATAAGACAGTTTGAAACCAGGTCTAAACCAGGTCTAAATCATTTGTAAAACAGGTCTAAACCAGGACTAAAGTAGGACTAAATAAACTAGGATTTAGTGAGATCTAAACCAGTTCTAAACCAGGTCTAAACCAGGTCTAAATCGTTTGTAAAACAGGTCTAAACCAGGACTAGACCATTTCTAAACCGGGACTAAACAAGGACTAAATAAACCAGGATTTAGCGAGGTCTAAACCAGTTCTAAACCAGGTCTAAATCTGGACTAAAGTGCAACCTAAACCAGGTCTAAATAAACTAGGATTTAGTGAGGTCTAAACCAGTTCTAAACCTGTTCTAAATCATTTGTAAAACATGTCTAAACCAAGACTAGATCATTTCTAAACCAGGACCAAACCAGGATAAGACAGGTTGAAACCAGGTCTAAACCAGGTCTAAATCATTTGTAAAACAGGTCTAAACTAGGACTAAAGTGGGACTAAATAAACCAGGAGTAAACCAGGTCTATACCAGGACCAGACCAGGTTTGTTTGCTGAGCCTAAACGTCCTGCCGCGTTGCATGTTGTTGTTGTGCCCTTTAGCAGGACACTTTTACCCATTTAAACATGTCAGTGTGTCTGTGTGATTGGGGGTCAGAGTGGCTGCCATGTTCTTGTCAGTCTGCCCCAGGGCGGCTGTGGCACAGAAGTGTCTCTCAACAGTGTGAGGGCGTCCGGACTCTGCTCCAGCGTTTGCCGTGTGGACGCGGAACGACCACAAAGACTTTTCTGTCCAACTGTGAAGAGTTTTGTCTCATTTTAAATCCTCCAAAATCTGAAATCTGGACTTCAAACTAGTCCAAGAATCACAGACATGTTTGTAGAGGTCTATTTAGTCCTGTTTTAGACCTGTTTTAGACCTGGTTTGGACCTGGTTTGGACCTGGTTTAGAACTTGTATTGTCCTGCTTTAAGGTGCATTCACACTTGTCCTGGTTTGGTCCTGATTTGGTCCTGGTTTAGACCTGGTTTGGACCTGGTTTAGAACTTGTATTTTCCTGCTTTAAGGTGCATTCACACTTGTCCTGGTTTGAGTCCAATTTAGTCCTGAGGTAGACCTAGTTTAGACCTGATTTAGACCTGGTTTGGACCTGGTTTAGAACTTACATTGTCCTGCTTTAAGGTGCATTCACACTTGGTTTGATCCTGATTTGGTTCTGGTTTAATCCTGTTTTAGACCTAGTTTAGATTTGATTTAGACCTGGTTAAAACCTGGTTTAGACCTGGGTAAGACCTAGTTTAGACCTGGTTTAGAACTTGTATTGTCCTTCTTTAAGGTGCATTCACACTTGTCCTGGTTTGGTCCTGATTTGGTCCTGGTTTAATCCTGTTTTAGACCTAGTTTAGACCTGGTTTAGACCTGGTTTAGAACGTGGATTGTCCTGTTTTAAGGTCCATTCACACTAGTCCTGTTTTAAACCTGGTTTGGTTCTGTTAGTCTTGACTTAGTCCAGGTTTAGTCCCTGTTGAGATCTGGTTCTGTCCTAGTTTGAACTGGTGTGATTTATGACCGACTGAGGACTAGACCAGGACTAGACCAGGACTTCCTGTAGCCCCCAGACCTGGTCCAGTGAGCGCGCCTGTTGCCGTGGTGACGGGGCGTGGTCACGTCTGCGGGGCTCTGATAAGACGCCGCTTCTGAGAAAAAGACGCACGTTCACCAAAACAAGAACAAGTTTCACTTTTAAAGCTGCACTGCGCAAGTTTGTCTGAGGAGGGCTCTGTCTGCCGGTCTCCATGGAGATGCCGTTGCTTTGTCTGGAATGTTCCGTGATATAGCTTTAAACATACAGTGTGTAGTTTGCATTTAATCAGTTACAAATCTCTTTGATGATCTGACTCGTACCTTTGTCTCCATGGAGATACATACACTTAATGCCAAACTGCGGGAATTTCAAGGGAAAGTATCAGAAAAGTTACACAGTGCACCTTTAAAGCTTTGGTTACTTTTGGTTGATTACTTTGGTTAATTTGAAAGACTATTACTACTATACTATGACTACTACTACTATTACTACTACTACTACTACTACTACTACTACTTACTACTATGCTACTACTACTACTACTACTACTACTACTACTACTACTACTACTACTACTACTACTACTACTACTACTACTACTACTACTACTACTACTACTACTACTACTACTACTACTACTACTACTACTACTACTACTACTACTACTACTACTACTATGACTACTATGACTACTACTACTGTAACTACTATTTCTACTATGACCACTACTACTACTACTACTAATACTAATACTAATACTACTACGACTTCTATGACTACTACTACTATTACTACTACTACTACTACGACTACTACGACTACTACTACTATTATTATGAGTACTATGACTACTACTACGACTACTAATACTATGATTACTACTACTACGACTACTACTATTATGAGTACTATGGCTACTACTACTGCTACTACAACTACTACTAGTACTACTACTATTATGAGCACTATGACTATTACTACTACTTTTCTCGTTCTGGAGATTTTTCTCTTGTGTCTTTTCTTTGTTTTTCGACTTTGAACTTGAAGTGAAGTTTATGTTTGTTTTTTTATTTTCACTCACTGAGTCTGAACAAAGAACGAGTCAAACCCACAACCCAGGACTAAACCAGGACTAAACCAGGTCTAAACCAGGTCTAAACCAGAACTAAACCAGGTCTAAACCAGAACTAAATCAAGACTGAAAAACTACTGAACCAGGACTGAACCAGGACTAAACCAGGTCTAAACCAGGACTAAACCAGGTCTAAACCAGGACTGAACCAGGTCTAAACCAGGACTAAACCAGGTCTAAACCAGGACTAAACCAGGTCTAAACCA